TGTTTCTGTGATTCTGTGATTCTGTGAAGTACCGCCTCATCCTAAAAATTAACCCAAATGCTGGAGCACTGAGATGAAACTAAAACCAGCTGCACCACATTGTGCCGAAGGGTCACCTAACCTCGTGGCTTGTACCAAACAGCGTTCAGTGGTGTATGCCAGAGGATTGTAGGACTGTCACAGGCATCCAGGAACACTTTCCTGGTTACAGACCCTCTTAATTTCTAGTGATTAGTGAGTTTTTGATCCAGATGTGTTACTTCTGCAGTTCATGAGTCCATGGGCTTTGCTCCCATTCATGTCTCAGTCACTTACACTCGCGGAAGCTGTATGGCCCGTTTTACAATTTAAGCATGCCACATGTGAAAAAAATGCTTTTTTTTTTTTTTTTCATTTTGGACTGGCTACCTCCCTACTGCTTCTTCTATCCAAAGACACACCTTTTCCAGAGCACTCCTGAATTTACAGGTCCCCGTGACATCCCGGTCACTCAGCCGCCTCTTTCCCATCTGGAAAAGTCCCTGACAGTCCAGCTGCTTCTCAGATGTGTTGTCATTACACCGCTTTGACTACTCTGATCCTCCTATTTGAGCCTCTCCGAGTTTTGCTACTTTTTTGCAGCAGAGCAGACTAGAATTTTACACTACATTAAGACCTAACCGCACCATCAATTTACACAGTGTAAAACTGTTTTCTGTTTTATTCTTTGTCTCCTGCGGAGTCATTCTTCGCACTTGCCTGACCCACTGCTGAGCGATGCGCTGATGTTTCCGTAGAATTACCTAGATAACTCCAAAATCACTTTCCTATACATCAATAGCTACTTCAGAGGCCTCAGCTGCAGGTAAATGGAGAATTAAGTATTATTTTGCTTATTTTGTATTTACATTATTTTAGCAAAAGTTGAATTACATCTTCCATTTTATCACAGTATCATGAGATTATTCTGCTACTTTTAACACTCCGCATTTTTGTTATTTTTGAGAACCCAGTAAATAAACATTATCTTACTATTTACCTCTCTTTAACTGATCTGTTACCTATCTGCCGAGCAGCAGAGTCCTGCGGGACTCCTTTAGCAGGCTCTAGGTGTTGGGAATATTGGTAATTTATTTCTTTATTATTCTATTTTTGTAAATAGCCATGTAACATTAAGGGACGTCCACTCTTCACCTAGTGCATCACGGGTTTTTAAAGAAACTTTAATGAAAGACCCTGTCTAAACTCCTTTATGTAGATGACATCGACCTGGCCTTGTGTACGCAGTGAGGCTTCCAGGAACTCTACTGACCATGAGGCAAAGGCTCTGCCAATGTGCAACTCCTCGCACTACTCACTGCTTTTACACTGTAACCACCTGCTGAGCCTTAAGCTTCTCTCACAGCCTTCTTGTTTAGAAGAAAACAAAACAAAAGCTGTACAGGTTTTATTGTTCTAAGTCTTTGACTTAGGTGTTACATTTTTTTTCCACATTATTTTTTCTTAACTTAGGCACAAAATACTAATGTACTAATGAGGACAAAGCTAAGTATTTTCCTCTTGTGAGTTGTCTAACCAGCTCCTCCATGAAAAAATAATTTATAGTCCAATGAAGCAGCGAACCAATGCTCACACTAAAAAACATAATTTTTATTTGGATTTGCAATCTCTGCACCATCTTAGGTATGATTATCACCAGAGTGAGGGATTTTGCTGTAATATGGTCTTAATTTTCAATGGACTTACTTCATAACCCTAAAGACTTGGACATTCAGTCCCAGGGGTGTCTAGATTACCTGTTGTTTATTTAACTTCAATTCACAGCATGGCACCACTTTCCGACAGAACAAATAGTTTGTTATCTCTATGCTCTCAATAGCCTCACTTAAAACCAGATATTCTAGACCTCAAGTGTTTTTTCAGACTGAGATTCCCACAGAAATACATACACAGTGGGTTCAGTTCCCAGTTTTAATGGAACCTCAGTTACACTGCTCTTTGCTGTTTATTTTCACCAATTTCTGTTCCATTCTTTTATCAAAGTCTATTTATGATCCATAACCATGTTTTCCTTCTTAGACATTTACTTTTACCCAGTTTATGAATTTAAAATGCCTTTTTCCCATTTTTAAATAAATGTTGTTACAGAAGCCTGGTTTCATTGTCTTTTAGGTAAAGCCTGCATTTTCTGCACCTACTCCTGTCGCTAATGAGCCTAACTCAATTTTCTTGACACTATTTGCCTAGTCATGCATTAAAACACTGCTTCTCTCCCTCTCTTCTCTGCCTCTGCATGGGTTTAGAAAGCTACCATGGTCATGATCTTCCAGCCTGACAGTCCAAAGAGCAACCCAGTGATAAAGTAAAATCTTCATTCCAAAGGGAAAATCTATTTTTTTAGTAGTGGAAGGAATGAGAAAGAAGAAAAAAAGAAGTAATAATCTTGCTTCTGTTCAGTGCTGCTGCATGAGAGAGACGTATAGAAACAAAGGAAACTGTCAAAGAAAATCTACAAACTATGTCGAAACCAATCAAGTAGGGAAAAAAATACAGAAAGTCTTTCCATCATATTCATGGTCAAGAGCCTAATTTAAAGGTAAGTTTTCTGATCCTGTGCTACACCATGTACAACTCACAAATCCAACTACTTACAGGCCTGCATTTAGGCTTCCTAACATTATCCTCCCTGTTACTCTGGGGATTCTACAGCAGGATGAACTACTTCTCCCTTTCTTCTTTCCTGAACCGTGTGTTGGTTTTTACATGAAAACCACTGCCCTGGAAGGAGTATGGCAGCTGCAAGACACACTTACCATGGTTTTCTTCTCCCCCTCCTATTTCCATCCAGGCCATGGAAAGAGAAAGGCGATGGCTGCCTGTGCATCATTCTTGACACAAAGTCAGGGTTTTTTTTATTTTCTCACCACATGGAAAACAGAACTCTTCTGCCCATTTAAGCAGGTGCCACTGATCGTCTGGAGATGGAGACATCAAGGCAAATGATACCTCAGCATTTGTCTATGTATGTGTTAGTTATCCATCCACCAGAAAAATGTCCTACTGTAAAATGATCCTTCACATGGGTCATGTATAGCAATTTCTTATGCAAACTTTTATATTCTTCTGAAACCATTTTCAGGGACAGACCTTTTTTTGACAAATGTACAGGAAACATTAATTCGAGGAGTTGAGGTTGTTTTATTTTAACACCTAATACAATTCAAATTTAAAGGATTACTTGCACAAAAAAATAAACACATTTGGTATAAAAATTTATCATCACTTTAACACCTTTTTTTCCTCTCATGGCCTGCGCCTTCTGTGGAGCAGAAACATATAAAGACTAATGGCACAAGTTTGTTTTATTCTACAGCATTTTTTTGTTTTTACATACTCAAGTACCCTAGAGGACAACAGCCCGCTGTATACAAGAACCATTTTCTTCAGCCTGCTGAATTAAGTTTCATAAAGAACCAAAGCTATAAAGGCATTTTAAAAACCATTGTCTCTTTTTTTTCTTCAGAAGCACTGACTTTTTGCACCATTTATATACATAGTGTTACATAACAGCTCTTAAGTACAGTACATGCAGCAGAATATATCTGTTGAATATAAAACATACATTTAAAATCTTGACTTATCAGAATTTTTTGAAGATTGAATAATTGTAGAATGCCCACTGCTTACAGAAAATGGTTTGATCATACAAATGTCTGCATATGTTGGCCACTGGAACAATCCAAGGCTCACTGGAATAGTATCTGTAGCACATCAATGTGCATAAATAATTTACTTACAATATTAAAACACAACTAGCAAAATCAATAGTTCAAGATCTTATGACTGTTATGTTAACCCTTAAGTGGTTGCAAGGAAGTGTGGTGGGGGTTCCTCCCCCTCCCAAGTCCCCTATAGAACCTTTAGTATGGAATTTGTTTTCCAGATGAAGAAACTTATTTGTGCCTACTGCCCCTTCTCTTCATTGCAGCCGTACACTGTGGACAGTACCACTTCCCTTTTGGTGCTTCTGTCAGTCCAACACATCCATAGTGGAACCACTCAATAGGGCACTATAAAAACAGAATTAAAGACAGAGTTTGGGATTTTGGGTTTTTTTGTTGTTGTTTTTAGTGGTTTTTTTTTTTTACACCTATCACAAATACAATTCTATGAAAATGAAGCATGAGTAAAAAGCATAGATTCTGCTTTTCATACAAAGTCATGCGACAAAACGAGAACAGAGGAGGATCTCAGTCCCTCACATACACTCAACAAAGTAAGGAAAGTTATAAAAATTCTAGGAGTCAGAGATGGACTCACATAACTGAGCAAAAGATGCTGTGCTTCAAAATATTTACTTTGGTAACACTAAGTGACACAAAAGTAATCTTATCACTCACTTCTGTTTAAATGTAGTACCTCAATAAGTACACGATTACATTCAACTGTTATTTTAAAACTTCTTTTATTTGAAGGGGACAACTAATATTAGCAGTGACATAGCTAAAAGTTACCAGAAATAAAGGGCATTTTAATGATGTCAAAACCTTCCCAGGAAAGGATGAAGCATTCTAAAAGAACCTGAACTGTGGGAACAGATGAGGAGATGTTTCCTGAAGAATGGTTCAACTCATATGCACATTAGTCTAAAAAAACTCTACTCTAAAAACAACTCTAAAGAAAAGTAACTCCTGCAAACAACAGTTAGATGCACAAACGTCTCCTGAACCTTTTGAACTTTGTTACTTACATCTTGGTTATCACAGCCTACCATTTCACCATAGGACACCTAATAAATAAGAAAAAAAAACCCCTTATTAATAATAGTATTACTAATTAAAAGCAGTCAACATTTTCAAAGGGCTAAAGTTCAAGCTTCTTCCTCTGATTTTTTCCATTAACAGCAACAATATTTTAATTTTTCTTTTGTTACACAACCCAAAGAACATGTCCACAGCAAACTGATTTTCAAAAATTTTTTATGCAAAAAATCTGCATATTTCAGGTTGGATAAAAAAGGTCAGCATTCAAACACATGAACAAAGCACATTTTGGTCTAAAAACTGCTCAGTACATTATCAGCCCAGTTTTCAAGATTATATTGATGTCTGGAATTTCCCTTGCATACATGACAATTTCAGGCACTTCATTGGAAACAATACTTTCAAGTTAATTACAGAATTCTATAAACTCTAAAAAACCCCAAAACTCTTAAAAGTGTTTAAAATAAGAACAGGCATTTTTAAATAAAAGTGTCTCAAGTTGTCATTCAGTTTCTCAAGTTTCCGGATAGCTTTTACAAAACTACTTTTTCGTTTGGTTGTTGGATTTTTTTGTTTGTGCAGTTTTTGGGGTTTTGTTTTTGTGAGGTTTTTTTGCTTTGTTTTTTTAAAGGAAAGTAGGAGAGACCAGGCAAATTCCTTACTAACTTAAAATTTTAACTAAATTCACTGTGAACCTGTTCAATTTTTAATTTAATTATTCCTGAAGTCTTCGTTAAAAGATTTAAAACTCTCCAGGTATGTCACATCACTGGAAAACCTGCTTGTTTTTAGCTTCAGCAGTTGAGTTCATTATTCATATCACCAGTAAGTAAATAAAAACGGAACAGAATTTCAAGACTACAAATGTTTTAAATTAGCATTCAGAGAAGGAAGTTCAGCTACAGCAAAATAGCAGCTCTAATTCTATTTCAGGTTGGAAGCCATCCTTACCTGATTACAAATGCAGTAACGTGGCTCATTTGGATCATAGGTCCAGTCAACCTGGCTATTAGAATCAGACTCTGGTATCACTGCTGTTTGCTGAGACAGTTCTTGTGCCAGTGCAGATGAAGAAGAACATGATGACAGAGATGAAGAAGAGGAAGATGATGAGGACTGCTGACTTGAGGATTTGTTGTTGTTTCTAAAAAAAGAAAAAAAAAAAAGGCGTATCATAATTTACATTCATTTCCTGCCAAGTGAAAGGATCCCAAAACAAGTACTTTGTTGACTCTGCAATACTGCAGTATGTAAATCCCAAAGCATCATTCCCTAACAGATTTCATTCAACAATTGCAAGAACTGAAATGGACACACTGAATGCTCTTTGGAAAAGGAAATAAGTCTTACCAGCTTTCAAGTATGAGACAGACTATTCTAATCAATGGAATTCAACAGCTTTAAACTGCCAAATGGCTTTTATCAATGTTTTTCCTCACAAAATTTTCATCAGCAGTCTTGGTGTGAAGTCCCCATAAAAATTATGTTACCAATAAAAAAGGTATTTACATATAAACAATGTCCTATGTCATGCAGAATAGATAGCTGTGTTTTGAAGATGACTGATTCTATGTGATTCTATGTTAATCTCCACTCAGGCATCACCAATCACTCCACAGGAACAGTGCCAGAATACTAATGCTATGCTTTTGCTTATAGGTCAGACCTGACACCAGATACCCATTGATGAAAAATGCTTCTAAGAAAATATTAACTGTGCTGTGAACAAACACAAATCTGTATGAAGAAAAACATGCAATTCAGTTTAAAAGGATAAGCATTCTGAGACAAACCTTTTGAAGTACAACTTGTGATTGCTGTCACAATGTGCTATGATATAGTGTTGTTTAAAATGCTTTTAAATTTAATCTTAATCAGAAATAAAATTAACTCTTTTTCCTGGGCTAGAAGTTCAGCCGTTGGAAAGCATTGTGATTATCTGTGAAGTGGCTTTCCTCCTATGAGGAAGGCTGAGAGAGTTGGGGTTGTTCAGCCTGGAGAAGAGGAGGCTCCGGGGAGACCTTATTGCAGCCTTCCACCACTTCAAGAGGGCTTGTAAGAAAGATGGGGACAGACTTTTGAGAAGTGCCTGTAGCAACAGGGCAAGGGGCAGTGGTTTTAAACTACAAGAGGGTAGATTCAGA